TAATAAACTCTTCTAAAGACTTCTTATGCTAACTCCAGCAAGTGACTTGAATTGCTTTTGTTTTAATCTGGATTGACAGCAACAGCTATAAATCAGAAATGTGAGAACTGAAATTATTTTAGGACTCCTAGATATTTAAGAGAATAACTTGGCATCCAYGCTGGCTATTGGCTTTATGTAAAGAAAATGGTTCAAAAGAATTTTTGTTGTGGAAAAGCCCACCTAGAGATACAGAGTTGAATATAAAGCATGTTAGAAAGAAGCCCCATTGTACATAGTGACAGCTCATTCATTACTCTCATTAGAGAGGTCATTTATTAAGGGGTTCTGGAACAAGCTTGCTGTAGCAGGCTGGATTTGACTGCTCTTTGCTATATGCAGAAACAAGGGGGAAGGCAGGGCACCTGTTTCGGAGGACCTCCGGTCAGCTATGTGGCCCCGTGGCCATAGCCAGAGATGCAGAATGGGCCTGGTTGTGACATGATGTTTCATACATCTGCTTCCTAATTCGGTGAGACGCAAAATCTCCCTTCTGTGCCATGAAAACCCTCCCGCGGTGCTGGCACGCGGCTGTGCCCCTGGGCTGCAGGGACACATGTAGGACAGACAGCTCCTTCCAGGAATGAGTCCCGTTTCCTGACAGCACCGAGCTCTAAGCCAGCCTACCAGGGAGCCCTTGATGCTGCCGGTTGGAGCTTCCTACAAAGCAAGYGGGTCCTGCTGCACAAGCCGAGTGCATTGGCACTGTATACATACACCCAAGATATAGAATACACATACATATACACACAGCCMTATTTGTTTCTTTTCACAGCTTTTGCTTTAACGCACTGCAAAAAGTACAGGAGACCGCTGGAGCTCAAGATCTGGTTTTCCATGAGGCAAATTGCGTACAACTGGCAGAGACTCAGGTGCAGAACAGGCACTAAGAGGTCTATAAACATATTTTACCCTCCTGGGAGGGCTCCCTCCTGGCCTAACAACCTTCCAGGAGCTTCCTGGATTGCAGCAAATGGCGCCACAGGGTCCCCGGAGATGGTTTCCSTTTAGCGTCCTGGCCTTTTTTTCAGTGTTTAGACATTTCAGTGTGTAACATACAACAATGACGAACGAAATAGCTGCTTTCTGAAGATGGATGCCGACCGTAACCCCCGCATGAAGGGACGCCTCCCAACGGAAGCGCCCGCGCTCCCTTGGAGAAGCCGGCCCACCTGGAGGTGCGCTCCGTGCGGCGATGGCGGCGGTGCCGGGGCCCAGCCCACGTCGCCGACGTGGCGAGGCCGGCGGGCGGCCCCGCGGCGGGCGCCGGGCGCCACAGGTAGCGTGCGTCGCTCGTGCCCTCGGCCGCCGGGCGCGTGGCTCCCACGTAGTGCGTGTCCTCCGGCTGACGGGGACGGTAGTCGCCGACGCCGTCCGGGCCTGGGGAGCCGGACAGGGACCTGAATCACTGCATGTATATATATTTATATTTACATATATATATATACATATATATATATATTCTCTTCATGTATTCCCTTATTTTGCTTGTGATGCAGCGGTTTCATACAGCGACCCCGCGAGCTTCTTGTACCTCTCGTCGCTTTTGCTAGGCCGTGTCCCCTGGCAAGGGGTCACCTACCAGCTTCTCCATTAGACCATTCCCTTATACTGCCCTTAAAACCCTGCTTTTTGAAAAAAAAAAGTACATCACAGCATGGCATTAGATACCTTCCTTGAGTTAAAAAGTGGATTTTTGGTGTTTTTCATTGGGTGTCTACCCTTAAAGATGGTGCTTTCAGTTTATCCGCATAAACCTGCTCAGAAGATGAGTATATATTGGCAGAAGATATAAATTTAATGCAGATTCAGTTTACTCTATTAAGTTAGCGCAGGCATTTGAATTCAGAGTTAGAGTGGCCTTAATTCATTTTAATTGAGCCCATTGTCAAATTAAAATGTAATTGAATGCAAAGTCACTTTATATGAGGAGGCCAGTGATTTTGAGCGACTTGCTTGAGGTCACTCAAGAGACGTGTCTGCGAGGAAATTCAGCATCCATTAACAGAGGGTCTGAATTCATTGACAGAAGTGCAATTTCTGTTCCTTAGTTAATGGAGTTTAATCAGCACGTAAAGTGGGGATGAGGAAGGAGAGCAGTGGTCGACCTAGGCTGCTCTATGAGCTCTCCAGACTACATACACARAAGCAGGTATAATAAATACTTGGAGGGCTACCTTTGCAGCACAGATAGCTGGGAACATAACTTGAAGGCTGATGATGGCAAACTGTGTCCCTCAGATATGCAGACAGGGAAAAAAAAAATGGGAACTCTTAAGTCATGAAAAACCCAGTAACATTGATTTACAGCCTGAGATTAGTATTGATATTTTTACATGCAAAGTTAAGGGTAGTTGGAGCATGACAGCATATGGAGGCAGATTCTGCCTTAATAGTTATTACAAAGCATTTGGAGCACACCTCCAAAAATGGTACCCAAAATTTAGTATTAGGAAGTCCTTAAAATCAGGCTTCCTTAAGGGGACAATCTTCTTACCATTTCTACCATCTCCTCAAAAACTGGCAGCTGACAGGGATTCAGCCATGAAGCACCATTTAGCCAGACAAACTCCAAACAAGTTTTCAGCTAAGAAGCAAATATCTCCCATACACGTTTGGGGAAAAAAATAAAAGTATCACTTTATAACTATTTAATTTTTATAGTGGAAGGCAGGTCCTTGGGCATGAAGGRGTCTTGGAACACAGGATTTCCTTTCTAAGGTAGTCAGCACCCACCCTTGCCACTGAGCAAGACTGTGAAGGCTGGTACGTGTCCAGACCTCTGGAAAAGGTACACACCATGGTTTTAGTTAAAGTTAGTTTTCAGTTGAAGGACAAGGCATCACTAGYGTGCTGACACAGTCTCCTACCGCTGTGGCAGCTGGCGATGCCAGAAGACTTCACTGCTGGTGGAGATTTATACTGACTCCCTGCTGGTCGACTCATATTTATGTGACTTGTTTAGCTAATAGAGCTGTATTGATACTGCCTAGGCATGGGGGAAAATAAAATAAAATAAAATAAAATAAAATAAAATAAAATAAAATAAAATAAAATAAAATAAAATAAAATAAAATAAAATAAATCCTCTAAATTATCACAATGATCAGAAAATGAAAGAAAGAGGTGCAAGAGAGGAAGGGGAATTTGCACTGGGAGTATTTCCAGAGCAGCTCCTGGAAATAGGTCCAGCAAAGACAGAATAAAAAAGGAGCCTTTCCATAAAAATACTTGGGGAGTTATTCAGGAATCGTTGCTATGAGCTGAGCTAATCCAAATGAACCTTCAAGCGCAGATAATCCCTGGCGCCTGTTCCTGGGCAGGGATTCGTTTCCAAGGCACATGCCTTCTYGGGATCCACCGGATTAACTGGAAAAGGATCACCAAGTGCAGAGACATTCAGAACAAAAGATTGCGGTGGTTCAGTTCAAAGGCTGAAGGATCTGCTGTCACTGATTCACACCCGTTAAAGACAGATTCAGACCCCCAGAGTAGATTTGACGTACGGGGAGCCCATGCGACACCACATCGTGTTGGCACCTGGGTTGCAGCTCCTGGCCGAGCCTCTTCTCCCTGTTAACTGCTGGATGCTGCACAAAAGGGGCTGTGCTAATTTACAAGAGCTTTCATTCCTTGTGGAAAGCCATAGGGAAATGTTACTAAATCCGTTGTGCTAATCCAGTTTACTGCAGCACAGTTGCACCGGCATAGCTGTGGGGGCAGCGAGCTGGGTCATAGGTGCAAAAATAAAGAGTGGGAACCTCTTCCATCAACTCTGCTGCCAGGGAAAATATCTCTTGCAATGATATCCTGGCTCTTCAATGGGATTCATTATTTYTTCAAGCCCATAGTCTGGACTACCGTGTACTGCGATGTTCCATTTTTGGGGGAAGAGCCTTCACTAACTACACGTGTTACTGCTTCATCTGGGCTGCAGAGGCAACGATGCCGTTGAATAATCTGATCAAATTGAATGGAAATTTAATAGCAAGTCACGTGGCCTCTTAACAATCCCACTCCCCAGCAAGGAGCACGTACAAAGGTAGAGAGAACCAAGTCATTTCCAAATACAGAATTGTTGCTTGAACCTGGAATAGCCTTTAGGGAATTAGTGTCCTCCCTTTCCCTCAATAACAAAAATAGTTCATCCTGCTGGCCTAACAATAATTTGCAAGTGACAAGAATTTCACTAGCTGAAGCTGGCATTTAGGATCAATGCTCATGGTGGGTGCAGTTAAGCAAATATTTTGCCTAAGTCTTCAGAGAATCAAGGTCAGAAATGTCACCCAGTGATGAGCTGCTTGGACTGACCGAAAATAAATACACAGCAAATACCATGATTTGGTTTGAAGGCTGGCRTTGCTCTCGGTTATCTTTTCCAAACTAATTGCATGTGTGAACTTGCTGTTTCTGGAATGTCAATGCTGTTCTCCAGAATAAGTGACCATAGGCAGCGCTATCTAGGAAAAGCTGTTTTGTGAAGTCTTTCATAAATCTGGCAGAGTGATAAGAATTTAGTTATGAAAGTCAACTGGAATTGAGAAATAATGAAAAGTTTAAGCTCTGTCACAAGCTGCGGTTTCAAACATTACTTCAAAAACACAAATGTGTATCTGGAGCTGATTTCACAGGCATTATTTTCTTCAAGAGGTGGAGGCGAAGTTTCAGTATCACAAATTGTCTTCTGTTTTTTCCCCTTTAAGTTGACCTCTTCTACAAAGCACCAAATAGGAACCAGCAAACAGAAATAACCAGGCCCTGCACTGACCAGTCAGCTCAGGCWCTGACAGGGCCACTTGGTGCCTTTTCCCTGGCTGCCTCTAGGAGAAAAAACAGCTCAGCCTTCAGTCTCATTGGGTGTCGACCTCCAGAGTATGCCCATGTGGAGGGCAATCACCATGCTCACCTGTCTCCTATAAAAGTCCACCCAGGGAGAGCTGTTCTGAGTTTATCCCCCTTATGTGAGGCTGTGGTTTTGTGTGTGGTGCTGGGTTTTTGCAGGGATACTTGGTCCAGTTGTTCTGCCTCTTCTGTGACTGCCTGTGGGGTTGAAACAACTGTTTCTCAGYCGTATGGTACAATTTTGTTTTGTTTCCTTCTTCTCTCTGGTATTTGGAGCGTAGCTCACTTTGTTGGTATTGTTATCTTGTTTTCTCCACGGCCTCAGGGGAAAGCAGTTACGATGACCCAAAGGGTGCAAGAAGCAGCAAGAGGCCAAAGGGCAGTAGCTGTGCAGAGGACCATGCTCTCTCCTGTGCACAAGTGTGCTCAAATGGCTTGTCCCCTGCCTAAAACCCACCATCTGGAGGTGAGTGGGRAGGGATATTTTGGTCTTTCCCTCCTGCAAGTCCTGAAATCACAGACAGTGCCTTAGCTGTGAGGCTTGTGTGATGTGATGCTCTTGTATTTCCCTACCTGTAAGAAGGGCTCTAACATGTTACTCCCTTATATATGTGTCATGAAGATAATAATGCTCTAAGACACAATAAGCATTATTTTGGTACCATAGTTGTCTAACTGGGCTAACATTTTCCAAAGGCAGCCTGTATCTGCTGAGCCTAGTGCTGGGGGCATTTAATTCCTTTCATTTCCTTAGTTCTTTTCTTTTAAACTTGGTTCTCAAGACACCATGAGAGCCTGTGGCACACAGTAAGCGGAAGCAGTAAAGTCTAGCTTTATTTTTTGGTCACCTGCTAACAGTCATTCAAGCAGTAAGTCAGGATTCTCCACAAGACAGGCAGAAACGATACAGGGAAGAAACGGTGTTGGGTCACGTTTATCATTCTGTCATCCCATTTATCGTCTCTGCTCCCTTTCCAAGAGGCTAAACGAGAGGGTCAAGCCCCTCTTGACCTCAGGGCTGTTGTTTGGGTCAGGGAAGGTGACTTGAACTAAGGGAATTCCTAGAGCCCCCTCGGATGTTCCACAGTGACGTCCTATCTCGGGAATTAGATCAGRAGGGAAGGGTCATGGATTTGGTTAAAGTCACAGCCAACACGCTTTCATATCCTATTACAGCAGTAAATCCTACATAGTATAGCATTTTATTTTTCAGGGATTATTAAAGGGATTTTTTAGAGATTAATCGCCCAATCCTTATGTTGTTATAAATGCAATGATAATCATAAACCTATCCAGAATATTAGGACATGGAAATATAAGTGCTTGTTTTTATATGAAAAGTCATAGGATGCATAGGAGTATCATGATAATTTTGAGCCAATCTGCTAACTTTTAAATCTGTGCTAATATGCTCATTCCTTCACAAATAATAGATAAAAGTTTTATAAACAAAAGKCTTTTTGCTTTAAAACATACTGGTGTCACCAATAGCAAAGTCTGCATTCTTAATGATAGCAAATTAATGCTATCATTAGCAATTAATTATAATTAGCTATTATCATGGACCTTGACCACTACTCCTGCCCTAGAAGAGCCTGGCAGGAATCATTTGGAGGCGCCTGCCTGTGCCACACAAGGTGCTATCAGTTTAAGGGCCATCAGCAGGAAGGGTCCAAATCATTTTCCAGGGTTACTTTTCCAAGCAAAGTGCTTTCCCTGGGGAAATATGTGCTACTCATAGAGCCGAATCCACCATCTACTGAAAACAAGAGGAGTCATATGGTTGGCTTTGTGATATTAGCTAAAACAAGGGCTTGGAAAGCGCTTAGATAGAAAAACTCCTAATAACAGTAACTATGAGCAGGATATTAGATTAGATGAATCCTTAATCTGACTCAAATCCACAGTTCTTATGTTCTCGTGACAACAGCAGGAAAGTTTGCCATATATAATATGAAGAATATACATTTCAGTAGCTCTGAATACATGAGTGTGTATAYATACTGTATTGTTCCTAATGTCTTGAAATTTGAGGAAGAAAGAAACTGTCAGTAGTTCATACAGCTATCTGGAGCACAAGAAGTTCCGTCTCCAGGTGAGGAGCAACTTCTTTACTGTKAGGGTGACAGAGCAGTGGAACAGGCTGCCCAGGGAGGTTGTGGAGTCTCCTGCTCTGGAGGTCTTCAAAACCCGCCTGGATGCCACCCTGTGCCACATGCTGTAGGTGTGCCTGCTTGAGCAGGAAGGTTGGACTAGATGATCTGTAGAGGTCCCTTCCAACCTTGAATATTCTGTGATTCTGTGAACTACTGCTTAATCAAGGTTGAATCAAGGCACAAGCTACCACTATAATCTGAAACAGGCTCCAAAATAAATTTAGAGTCATTTCATGAAGGTACTTTTTTCCTTTTAGTCCATTGGTTTTATTCCCGAGTCCTTGCTTCTATAATATTTAAGGTTTTTTTTTTTTTTTCCTTTTTTTGATTCCGGGCACGTTTGAAGTGCGGATGGGCCCCACAAGAGCCGGGCTCYGCAGGCGCCGCCAGGCCGAAGCGGGAGGGCCTGGCCCAGGGCCTGCGCTCGATCCCGTTCCCGCTCCCATCCCGCACGGCTCCTTGTTGGGGCCCTGGGTTCAGGCGACACTTTCCAAGCCATGAATGAGGGCTGCCGAGCGCAGCACAAGAGCTTTCCAATTGAAAATGTGCCCAGCTGGCGCTGCGGGCTCWGCGCCTGCCCGTGTGCGTCTTCCACACCAGCACCGCGTTCTGGCTGAAATACGTGTAGACATCTGCTTCCCAGGAGAAGAACATAAACAACACTTTTTTTCCCCTCTATTTAGACATTATGGACTGTGCAAGGAAGATTCAAACGCATTGCGGTTATTTTCCCCAACGGTGTAGCCGTTGGTGTGGGGCAGCGGCGCGGGCGGCCTACCTGTGAAGAGGACTCTGCCACCGGTGGGTGCGGGCCGCATGGCGCCCTGGGCGCTGAGAACGGGCGCCTTGTGACACGCAGCCCCGCCGGGCTCCGCGGCAGCGCTGCTGCCCTCCGGCCTTCACCGGGGCCCTCCTCTGCATCCCGCGCGTCTGCTGGGGGGTTTATTTGGGGGGGATGCCGCAAGATATGGGATAAAAGCACCCTAGGAACAAAATAAGAGCTGTGCTGTTGGCGCTGCCCGTTCTCTGCAGCTGCTGGGTCCATCTGTTGTCTCCTGCCTGGATTTCCTGTGGAAGCACCTCAGGGCATGAGGGCTGGAAGGAAGGAACCTTAGGATCCCTCAGGGCTCCTGCAACAYGTGTGATATCTCTAGTACCCGGCAGCGATGCCCAGTGTATTTCCAAGTGCATCCGAACTGAGGAGGCTACTAATTAACAAATAATCAGAGATGAAGTGATGTTCGTTAACGCTCTRTCTAAATGCACCGGAGGGCTCGGGTCTGTGCGCTGGGGTCTGCCTACAGTTAACGTGGGTGCCTGGTTTTACCAGCCTGCCTCGAGGGGCAGCACGGAGCACCTCGGAGCACCCGAGGGTGCTCCCCTGGGATGTGGCTCCCTGCGGTGGCGGGYGGTAACGCTCTGAGGGGCATCTGGGTGGTAACGCTTCCGAGGGGCCTCCGAGCGGGTGGCTGTTGGCTCCGGATCACCAGGGCTTCGCTGAGCAGCAGCGCCTGGTTCCGGGCCATGGCCATTGCTTCACCCCAAGCGGCTCCTCCCTGACAGGCTTGTCCTGTCTTCCCTTTTCCCTGTTTAACAGTGAAAGTAAGGAATAGTCACGCCAGCTGTCATAGTTAATATTTTTTTTTAATACAAATATCCTAGTAAGTCATGGAAAGAAGTCGTGTGAGAAAAGCATGTGTGCATTGGAGGCTATAGGCTAGGCGGTGTGATTTCAAAGCTTTTAGCAGAAACAAGGTTCATTTTGCAGCAGGGTTTGCAAAAGAGTGTCCAGTTTTGAACCACATGCCTGATGAGTGTTTGGTTGATTCGGTGGCAACGCCCCCTTGTAGCAGGGGGACTAAAGATGTTATCCCTAACATGTCATGCCCTGCTTCCCAAGGCTTGGCTCTGAGGAGCGCACCTTGTCCCTCACTGCGTAGATTCTTTGCTGTGACCAGGAATATGTTTGTTGGTACCAATGGCAGGGCTGAACTTGGCTTGGAAAAAGCCCGTGGAGGATTCCAGGGCACTTACTGCCTTATTGCCGAATAAAATAGTTTATTGTTTTTATTAAGGCGATCTGCACTGTGAATTATGTTCTGGGGAGCCTCAGGAGCCGCAGGAAGGCTGAGGAGCTGCTAGCAGGGCTCGGCTGTGGGTGGCTGCAGCCCCATTAATTATTGAGCGTGTTAGCAGTCGATGAGTTGCGCTGAATTGATCCGCGCCAAGATAATGTGAATTAAAAGCCGCTTAAATATTTAATTCCGTTCCTTTTTTTTTTTTTTTTTTCCCTCCTTTACTATGGCAGGAATTTGAATGAGAGGCAAAACATGAGTCATGCCTGCAATGAACTTTTCAGCAGAGACAAGCTATTAGGGTGAAAGGCACTATCTAAACGTAAATTGTGATTTATTATTGTGATTTATTAAAGGGGAAATATCTCATGTAAACATTTTAATGGAGGACTGCAAAGCTTGCCAGCTGAAATTCTCTAAATATGTGATGATAGGTGGAGATTTTTTCCTTATTGCTTCGATCCCTGCACTTTTTGCATGCTTAAAGCTTGCTGCATTTGAGGCAGTGCATGAGGCATGGTAGGGAGGAAAACGAGAGGAAAAGCCGTGCAGGAAGCAACGGATGTGCGGGCTGCAGCTCCATATGTTTGTCACAGCCCTGCAACAGGGCACAGCTGCGGCACAGCTTGGGTGACACGGAGCTGGCTGGGGAGAGGAAGTCACGGGCTGCTCCTGACATCGGATAGGTACCGAGCGCCGAATTTCCTGATGATTCTGCACGGGGGCTTGTAACACTAGGGCAGGACTCGGGCAGCCGGCTCCCTGTGTGTCAGCAACACTGGCCTAAGTGCCTTTGACAGAGATAAGCCCAACCTGGGGGCTGGGGGCAGTCACTGCAGCCCAAACGTGTCCATCTTAAGCACCCTCGCTGCAGACAGATGCTTCCCTGGCTGCTCCCTGCCTTTCCGCAGAGAGGGGTCCCTAATGCAGAGCAGAGCTGCTCCTCGAGTAGAAATGTGCTTTATTTCAGCCTGCAGCACCTGCAAGCTGATGTTACCTTCAGCGAGGAGGCTCCTGCCATTCCTTCCTTCCCTTTTGTCTCGCTTCATTTCTTCGTGTACCAGGGAGTGGGGGTTGTTTGTCTTATTTTTTCTCAGCCTTCACAAAAGCAGTCCTCTGCTTTACATGCACATTCCTGCCTTTGGAGCCGCTTGCCTCCACGGGCTCTTGGGGCTGGCCAGCTGCCAAACGGTAGGGTGAGCTGCAGGAAAAAGCCTTGATCATTGACAGGCTGTCTTGCAGTTTCTTTCTTGAATACAAGATGCAGATGGATGTTATTAGAAAGATTTTTTTTTAATAATTCGAATGTGCATGGCTTGCCCACATGCCTGGGATTAGTGCTCAATATCTAGATGTTGCTTTTCATCCTCAGCTAAGCTTTACAAGTATGAGTCCTCCGTACCTTGCTGAGGTAGGTACGTGCATTTTGTTACATGCTGTGTAATACAGAGGGTCATATGTTCATAACTTGGTCAAGGATGAATCACACAGCAGACCTTATAAACTGAGAAAATCTTTACACTTTAGTAGAGTTCTTCCACTATGCTTTTCTGTCCTAAAATGGTAAGATTTCTCCAGATTTCTCTTTCCATGTCAAGGAAGTGTGGCATCAAAAATGAGAATGCAGCTCTGGCTGTAGTTACACTAAGTAAATTTGCAGCATTTCTAAAATTTGAGGCCACGCTTCCTACTGCAGTGAGCTTCAATTAATATTGCAGAATGAGAGCCTAAGGACATCATCAAAGAGACTCAAGTTTCATATGGAGTGCTTGCTTCAAACCATATTCAGAAACGGGGAAATGATTTTAGAAGGAGTGATGAAAATGCCTATACTCTCTGCTGAAAGAACAGAGCAGGAATCTTTTTTTTTTTTTTTTTTTTTTCCCCTCCCTACTTTAACTACATGATTATAATTAAAACAGTGACAGTAACAGCAGAAATCCCAATGTGAGCTCAGTTCTACTGCAAGTTCTTGCAATGCTGCATCTTCTTTTAGTGAGGGGGCCGAAATAAGCTGTGGCTATGGAAGGCATCTTTAGAATGACAGGTTTTTGCTGAGCTTTTACTGGCATGGCTAGGCTGGCCCGCTTGCCCTTGCACACAGCAGCCAGTACAAGTTCCAAGTGTCATAATCTGACTGAGGCCAAGCTGGCCCTGCGAGACAGAGTTTCTAAACTAGGTCAACGAGCCCTTGGCAGGCGTCTAATAATCAGCATTAAGGGTCTTTGTGTCCTCAGCGAGCGCCTGGGTGCAGATAGGGAGCTGGGAGAGATTGGCTTAGAGACCAGTGGGCACCTGAGCCCAAAAAGGAGCTGTAAACGAGGCTGTGAGGTGRTCAGGCACTCGTCTTGACTGAGCCACGAGGCTCAGAAGAGCAGAACAGCAAGGGCTTGCTATGCAGACATACACCTACTTGTGTTTTCTRGGTAACCAGGTTGAGAACAGGCTATCTAGCTCAAGTCATGAGAAGTCTAAARCTTGATAAGTTAAAGGAAGCATTTATTTTAATTCTGTTCTCTTTCCTGTTTCCATTCAGCTTTGTGCTATCTAAGAAGCTTAATAAACACAAATAAAGGTACAGTTAAAAAAAAGGAAAGGGAAAGATTTTGAGAATTGATTTCTGAATTCTGTGGCGTGGTGCAGAGGTCCATCTTGTGCTACAGGTTGTAGGAATGGGAGGCAAAACGGGAATAAACTAGTCATGTTTGTTTTAGCCTAGACAGGTATCCCAGTTTGTTTTGCAGAATAATTCCACATTTGTGTCTTATTTCTTCCTTGCTGCTCTGGGAAAGGTATCTGGTCCCAGGCCTTGCCCTGGCRAAAAGGGAAATAAGTGCTCTTCTCTGTTTTTTTTTCTGACTGCTATGCAGTTTTTTGGATGAAATTGTGGAAATGATGGGCAGAGAAATTTGTGAATAGTATTGTATAGGAAATTGCAACTGGAACAAGCTATCACGTTTTTATGGATTCCCCATCCACATCCTTTAAAGTCAGCTAGCATATTTCACTTTATAATAATGTAGTACATCTCAGATGGTCTAGCATGCTTTTGTTGTGCTTTTCTAGGCCTCTTGAGACAGAAGACATTGTAGGATTTACAGTGGGGCTGTACAGGTGGATATGTAGATGGCTTGGCTGACAAAGACGTGTCCCCTCATGGCAAAACCGCTGGTGTCTCAGACTCGCAGTACCTCAAAGGCTTGGGATGTCTTTAACACTTCCATCTCTCTTTAAAACACACGAGAGAGAGGAGTTGCAAAYGCTGTGCAATAAGTTCAGGGAACTGTTGGACCAGTCTTTCATGTGTTATCTTTCCCTCTACAAATTTGCTTCCTTTCCCACAAACACTTGGAAGTGCCAAGGTTGAAGCTCCCACAAAACAAAGTGCAGCTTGGCTTGCACATACACAGATCTTTTGAAGATCTAACTATGGTAAGAAAAATACTTTGCCCAGATTCAACTCAACTAAAGCTCTGTATCAGTAGTGCTGTTTCCCCAAATATTTTATMTTATTGTTTGAAAGGCCTTTCTTTGCACTTGTAGTGTGTTAAGTATGCRCTGGTGTGTGTTTTTAATCAACTGCTTTACATTACCTACCTATCAACCTGCACTCTGGCTCAAAGATTTACATATACAGTGAACAGGAGCACCCCTGAAAATGTATTGGAGATGAGTATAGGCTAATGTTTAGAGATACCTCAAAAACAACTTTAGAATATCTATTCAAATATAACAAACAAAAAAATCCATGCAAACACTTAAGCTCTGTAGCTTTGGGATTGTTTTTGAAAAACTGGGAACCAGGGTGAACTTAACTAAAGATGAAATTTTCTCTTGTACTTCAGGTCCTTTCCCCCATGGAAAGAAGAATCTAACTTCATGCCTGAATGCAGAAGTAATGCAAAGGCTCGAGGCAAAATCCTAAGCTATTTACATCAGTGGAATGAAGTTATACAGCCAACTTCAACCTGAGAGACTTATTTTAAAATCTCAAGCATCGCTAGTAGGACGTGGATGTTGCCATAGGCTGAACAAGGGCAAACATCATTTTGTTGTCTTTGATGCTGCCCTTCCTAAGCGCACTGGGATGTTYTGAAGAGCAAAAGGGGCATACCCATCTTCTCTTGTAATGCTTTGAGAGTTCCTGACAGCTGCAATATGGATCAGAGAGAAGGAGCAGACTCTTAGTTGTTGTAAACTGGCAGAATTTCGTTGACCTTATTGAAATGTACTGATTCCAATCAGAGAAGGAGCTGGTGAAAAACATGAAGGTAATACAGAAGCAGGAGAAATGCTTAGCTCTCCTACTGCCTTCCTCACTTTAGTGCTGATTGCAAATAGAGAAGGACTCCAATCCCCACCTTGAGCTGAACTACATTTGAGATGTTTCAAGACTTCTGATCCCAAGGACTAAACATATTTAGCTGCTTCCAGTCCAGCCTCCTCAAGTAGAGGGAGCAGCAAAAATTGAATGTGGATCTCATGTTCACATCGCGGAGGTCAACAGGGTTCTTGTATCAATCTGCCTGCAAGTTGTTTTCAGGTCTTTCCATTCATGAACAGTATGAAGAAGAGGAAAAATCCCAGTAAGCAACTTCTCTGTGACAGGGTCTTTAAGAGTTCATGTGCCCTGTAAACTCTCCTTCTCCTTCCGAAGAGCTGTACCGTTTCCCCTGGATCTCTAATTCCGTGTTCTGTACAGCTGTTCCCCGTTTCACTTTCTCTTCCTCACCCCCAAAACGCCCCTAGGAGCTCCCAGCTCTGCTGAGCGCAGCCGGTTTCCCAGGGCTCGCAGGCTCGTCCYGGGGAGCAGGCGCGAGCTGCGGCGTGTGTGCCCGGGCGCCGACCTGCAGCGCTGCCGGGACGTGGCGGTGCATGTTCAGGGGCGCAAGCAGGGTGACACATGTAGGGAAGAGGCTCCTCATCATAGCCTGCTGCCACTTTTGAAAAATGTGCTATAAGAATCGGTTTCATAAATAGTTTCATAAAGAAACTGAAGGAAAGTGACCACTTAGTTGACAGCTCTGCGGATGGCTGTCTTAAGGCCGTCTTGGATGTCATGGGTGGCTGTCTTGATGTTGTTCTGGTCCAAGTACCAGAAACACTGCACTCTGTAAACTCCTACTCCAGGGCTAGTAGGGGTTCACCCATGCAGTGCTGCTTAATTCTGACAGATCCTTCATGACGTTATATTTTCCTATTAATTAAAGGTTTCTTGCTCCATCTTATTTTAGTGTTGGAATTTGTCACTGTGTATTTGTAGCRTGGAAGCAGCTGACAGTCCAAATGGAAACAACACCCCCACTGTATAAAGTTCCCTACGAAAAGAAAGCAATAGAAAGTCTTCATTTTCACTGCTGACATTACTGATGATCACAGGTTCCACGGAAGATAGATGTGGCCTCACACAACCTTTTGAACCCAAATTATTTTTTTTTAATGATCTCTCTGTTACGAATATTTGTGGACTATGGCTGCAATGACAGCCTCTGCGTGCACACACACACATAGCCGGGCATATTGCCATTAATTTGTCAGRAGTAATCGGGACCAGTCCGTGTTAAGCTGAGGTTGCCTCGATAGCTTACTTGGGCTTTGATCTGTCTGGAATATGCTTTCCTGGGGTAAGATAAAGCCAGATTTGTTTCATTCCAGGTGCCAGATGGTTTCTGCCTGGAAAAATCAATGGAACATAAATCGATGGATTACAGCATCGTTGATTGGTAAGTAAAAAAAAAAAAAAAAAAAAAAAAAACTTTTCTATTTTCTACTTCTTACTGAACTCTAAGCTGGTTCTACCTATTTAAATCGGTACCTAGTGCTTGTCATATTATGATATAGGTGTGAATATACTTTGTCAGATTATGTATGTGTGGCATAAAGACATGCACTTGGGCTCCCACCCACACATCCCCATATGCTTTGAACAGATCCAGGCGGTAASGAAAAGATGAAGACGGCTGAACAGCATAAACAGTCAACACAATGGTTATTAATTGCAAAGCAATGGAATAAATGATGAAGGCTATTAGGAAGTAATTGAAATGTAAATGCTGTTCTAATAATTGTGGGTAGCATTGTATTAAAAGCAATTTGTGATGCAATATAGTGTGTTAAAGAGAGCAGTGAAGAGCATTGATGAGCTCTATAGAAAATGATGATTATAGTAAAGAGCTGAAGGATGACGGGTGTGCAGCATTCAGGGATTCATTCCAAGAAACAGCTCTAGCACAAGCTAATTTGGCAGTGCAGTAAACAGTGTTTTGTAGCTCAYGGAGAAAGGCAATATCTATAATAATGAATCAATAACTTATTACAGAAATTAGTTCATAGCACAGAAATGGAATAATTATGAATATATTTATATTTTTGAGACAGATAGTATAGACTGAAGTTGAACGCACTATACAACCAGACATTTTTTTTTTTTCTTAAATAAAGGTTTCTGATTATACAGGGTGAAAATTAGGCAGTCATTACAGAATCCTCACACTGCAAATAATGTATTTGCAATGAAAGGTCTTAATAGCACATCTTATACCAAATTATTCTCATATTCTATTTCTATACATTTCATTTTCCTGGAAGATTTTCACATGCTTTATTTAACTTTCTGCATGATATATTAGGTAGCTATATCAAGGTCTGGTGTTTTACAAAAAGCAGTATCACGGGATGTTAAAGATCATCTGACTATTACCTTTAATAATTGAGTTAATTTGCTTTAAAGACTGGGTCAGCTTTGAATAAATAGTAAAATGTCATACAGTAATAACTGGCTTCCAGACCATTTTCCTCTTTCATTCTTCAGCACAATTATGTAATGTTTGGRTTATTTYAAAAGATTATTTTAAGCAAATCAATTAAAGAAATAAAAAGAAATATATTTTCTGCRGTGTGCTAACAATGAAGCAGAGCACATTTACTGGTGTGTGCTCACTGGCCCCCGCTAAAGCAACCCTTAATTTGCTACACATCCCCATATTGACAAAAGATGCTATTTGACCATTTCTGGTCGGAAAATCTCAAAATACTATCCATGCAGTTAGTAATAGAGCATTATAGTGTGTTCCAGGTGTCTTGCAGTACTCTGATGCCGGGCCCTGATGCTGCTGTAATCTGTGCTGCAGAGAAGGCTAGGTTAGAGCATCATCAAAGACTTTGATGCTTCAAAACCTGTTTTTTTAATTTTTTTTTTATTAAACTCTCCATTCAGATGCACACTCCTTAAGGCCTTTTACCACTACAGTTTCAAAAAAATTGAAACTAAGGCATGCTACCAGCCATGGTCTCAGACGGTGTGTGTGGAACTAGTTGAGACAGAAAACATTCTGCTCTTGATGTTAAGCAAGATTTATATATATATATATATATATACACACATATATATATATATATAGCTGCATTCTTGGAAACATTGCCACCCAAAAAAATGAGCGTAGAGGCCAATCCAGTTCAAAGGGGTATAGACTGCCCTTGGTGGTGGCCTTACTTGGACCTGAAATCATCCATGTTTGACTTAAAATCCAATGAAATGGCTGCTGTTCTGCAGGTCAGCTGAGGAGCGAGTGCCAGCTGGATACCTCGGTTCTCCTTTGCATTGTGGCTGCACGAGGAATTAAGAAAGTGACTCCTTATGGATGCTGAGAAGGCGCCAGGAGAGAACTGGGAGGCAGATGGGAGCCGGAGCCTGTCCATGGTCTTCAGGGCATGTACAAGAAGGAGCCTTTGCCCAAAGAAACCTCTGGCTCTGTCCCGCTTATTGTGTGAAACTTACTGCATCTGCAGARGCTGCGCCTAGAAAAAACTCTGTGTTTCTAAAGCCTCTAGAATACTTTAAAAGAGTAGTGCTTAGTTATAGTTATCCAAAGGGATATTATGTTTTGGTGCCATATTTTGAGATGGCTCTTTTTTGTACTGCTGAATGTAGCAATAGACTGTACTGTGTTTGGTTAGCTCATTTCTAGTGTAATATGAGGTAGGAAACCTATGTAATATGACAACATGGCTGGTTCAGAGAAAAAGAAAGTGTAAATCATGCAGTATAATGCACAGCAAGAAGCAGCCATAAGGCAATTGCAAAATGAATGGCAGATCTTGATATCTGAGTTTATTCAAAAATGTATTGATCTCCTTTTAAACTGAGTGGACTTGAGAGCAGCTGGATGTGAAGGTTGAAACACTGACAATGGAGATTTCCTTTTATTGAGTATTTTCATGAAAATTAGTCTTTCCAGTGCCCCTCAGATGTRTTTTTAATAGCTGCTGTTACTTCCTAATTTGACAATTGTTTGCTGTTGTCTTCAGTTAAGATATAATATTTCTAATATTGGCAAAAAAATTAACTTAAATGATAGATTTACAGCTCAACTAATATGTTGTTGAAAGGCACTGGATCATAAGGTGTGAAGTATTATTGTTAAATATTATTCAGCAATCGGTGAGTGTATTTATGTGTAACTTTCCAGCTCTCACTCATTCCTGTCTCCAGTAATTTATTTTACTTGACATATCTCTATGAGCACGAATACCTGCTGTACTGATGAAATGCCTGTTGCCAAAGAAGAAACCCGACAGCTGATACTAAATACCAGAGTGAGTCACAGATACTGCCTTAGCAGATAACACAGCAAAAATGAATTGCAGTGAAATACTTCACCTGATGCTGCTGAGGCAAATAGGTCTGAAATTAAAGATAATTGCATATTAAAATGGAGTGGGTGGCTCTGTTTTGATGTAGAGATAGGAACATGTCAAGCAAGCTCCTAGCTCTGCAGCGGGAGGGAAGGAGTGCCCCGCAGTGCTTCGGGAAGGGCCCGGCACGGCATTCCTGGCATTCCTGCGGCACCCGCAGCGCGCGCCTGCCCCCACAAAAAGAGAAAACCCTAGCGCTCTGGGTTGCTAAATGGATTTTTAAGAAAAGCTGGCATTTACATATCGCTGTAGGCTTGGTTAACGCGAAGCGATGCTCTCYGGCGAGGAACGCGAGCTGTACATAGAACAGTTATTTCGGAGGCAACGGGCGTTACGCTATCCGCTCAAGGGAAAAAGGAAGGGATCCCCTTAATGTTTTGGTCAGATTTCTCGGTGTTGGGTGCAAAAGCGTTTCCCTGGCGCGTGGGGCCGAGCCGGTTATCTCCGCCAAAGAGCGACAGGTTTGGCAGATGCAGCCAACAGTGCTGGGCGCGCGCTGCCCTGGCTGCCAGGGCCCGGTGCTGCCGCCGCGCGATGGGGACGTCGCGCGATGGGGACGGCGTGGGGCTGCCTCGCGGCCCCCTGGCCTCTCGTGTGGCGGGAGCGGAGCGAGAAGGGCGGCAGGAGCTGCCGCAACGGGGCTGCCGGCCGCCTCCGGGGCCCGGCCGCGCTCCGGGCGCAGCTGCGAGCGCCGGCAGGGAGCTGGAAACTCGCGGGGCCGCCCCGGCGCTCACCGGAACGGCCGGGAAAAGAGAAATAGATAGATAAATAAATAACTAAAGGGATAGATCCCGCCCCCCAAGCCAAGCCCGGCTCCAGCCCCCCGGGAAGGGCAGGCCCGGCCCGGCTCGGAGCGCGGCCCCGCGGCCTCCGCGGCCGGTCGGCGGCGCTGCTGCTGCCGCCGAGCCCGCGCCGCCCGCCCCGCTCCCGCCCCCGTCCCGCCCCCCGTCCCTCCCTCGCTCGCTCGCTCGCTCCGTGGGCCGCGCAGCCCCGGCGGCGGCGGCGGCAGCGGCGGCGGCAGGAGCGGCAGCGCCAGGCCGCGCCCGCGCCTCGCGCCCCGGCGGGCAGCGGCGGCGGGAGCGGCCGCCATGGCGTCCTACGTGGACAACAGCTTCCGCCAGGCGGTCATGAAGAACCCGGCGGAGCGCGGCGCGCAGGTACCGGCCCGGCCCGGCCCGGCCGCCTTCCCCTCACCGCCATCCCGCCCGCCCGGGCACCCTCCCCGCGGCGGCGGCGGCGCCTCTGCCCGCGCCCGGCCCGCAGCCCTCCCCCACGGAGCCGCGGCAACAATGCCCATACGTTACATACATATGTATTTAAATGTATAAACGCGTGCGTTTGGAGTTGCTCCCGCGGCGGTGTGTGTGTGCGGGGGGCGCTCCTCCCCGCGGCCCGTGGGGCCTGCTGGCGGCCCCGCCGTGTGCGCGTTCCCCTCCTCGTTCCGCGTGTTGTGTCCCGCGGGGACGTTGCCGCCGCGCGTTCGGGCGCTTTCGGCGGCTTTGTCGCTCTTGGCGGCGTTCGGGCCGTGTTCGCGGCGGCGGGGCGCCGCTCCCGGCCGCCTCCCGCCCCGCTTGTCCCGCGCTCCTGGGATAAGTGGGAGAAAATGGGAGCTCCCGTGGGGAAAAAACAGCCCCCGGGCCGCGGGGCGTTGCGTGCCTCGCTCCTCGCCCCTCTCTTTTTGCTTTGTCCCCCTCTCTTTCCTCTTCCTTCCTTTCCGCCTCCTTTTTTTAACTTCTCGGGAATGTGTTTTCCCGCTGCGGACGCCGATGGCCTGTCCTTGTTTGACCTTTCTTCCCGCAGTGTCCCCCTGCTGGAGCCGGCCCTTTGGGTGGGATGCGGCCCCCCCCCCCCCCCCCCACCCCCCCCCCCACCACCAGATGCCGGCCTGGGATGCGGGAGCCGGGGCCGTGGGATGCCCCGCGGATCCACTCGGGAAGCACAAGGGCAAGGACGCAGCTCCCGTGGCCTTGCTCAGTTAGGTTAGGAAATGCGGAGGGGGAAAGAGAGGGAAGTAATGCAGTAAAGAAGAGGTTGGAAAGGGGAAATCCATTTATTGCCTCCATGCYGGTGCAGAACAGGGTAGGAAAGAGATTCCCGCTAGCAGCAGGACCCGGTTGGGATTTGGCTTAATGCTGTTCCCGGGCTCGGCTTCTCCCGGTGCTGGGGCTGGGAGGCCGCGGCCAGCGCTCCTGCTCGTGCCGCGTTGTGCGGATTCAGCCAAGCGCCTTGGCAGGCGGCTCGGGCCACAGCAGCCYGTCCTAGCAGCCCCAAACCGCCCTGTAATCCTGGAGCACGTTGCTTTTTTCTCCCCTTTTTCCCCCCAGGTAAGCTGGGTGTTAATTGTTCCGGATAACCCCCCTCAGCTCCATCTGCRTGTCCCTTCTGTGAACTGCGGCACTGCTCTCCGTGGCCGAGGGACCTGGAAGCAGGCGCGGAGCTGCAGGGCTTCGGAGAGCGCCCAGCCGGTGCTCCACGCTCACGCTTCACCTTGTGCAACACGGCCCTTCCTTTAATTGCTTTATTAGACTGTTCCCCTTCCCTTTGAAGGCGTTAACTGGCAAGTTAATTTAACTTCTTTGGGGAATCTAGCATCTAAATGTTCATAAATTACAAATGGTTTTATGCCCTTGAGCTGTGTATAATAGTAATCTATTTTTTTTTTTTCCACCAAGTCTCTTTTTGTATGAACTCTTTAGCTTAAAGTCTTCTCAAAACAACTGTTTTCCTTCAGAGGTCAGACTGGAAAGCGTGCGGCTTTGTACTTGTGCATCTCATAGGATAAAATARGCTGGTTTTGTTTTCGAGTAAAAGAAAAGCTCCGAACCCTGAACTTTATCATAACAACTCACTTGCGTGGTATGTTACATGAATAACTCGAAACTGCACATACTGGTTCACTGTTTTCATGCCAGGGAATGACGTCTGAGGGAAGCCTTTTTTTTTTTTTTTTTTTCCTCCTCCTTTCTTTCTTTCTTTCTTGAATATATTCCCTCAATACGTTGGATGCCCCGGGATTCCTCCTGGGAACAGCCGGCGTGGCCGTGCGGAGCAGGAGCGAGGAGCAGCGCRGAGGCAGCGACACCGGAGCGCGTTTGGAGGCGGGAGGGGACGCGCCGACGACCGTGGGGTTATTCCTGGTTTGGCGCTAGTGCGTCACGCGGTGCCAGAGCCCATCTAAACAGGATGCTGCTGTTTGGCAGCGCGGGCGCGCGCGAGAAGCAGCGTGCCCGTTATCGGATGTACCCGGCCCTTCTGCAAATAAACTTGCTGCTTGTYCCCCGGCGGCGGCGTTTCCACCTTGTGAGCCCTGCTCTCGGCTCTGATCCTGGGCAGCCTTTTAAGATAAGGCAGGAAAGGGCACTTATTTCCTAGTCTCCGGGAGGGAGCCGTTAGCAAGCGAATATAAAGCAGTCAGTGTGATCGTAGAAAGCAAGTGTGAGTCTTGAGGCTCAAAGCTTACAGTTGTCCCTAATTTCAGATTTGTTTTATGCGTGTGCATCAAGTTTGGAGAAGGCTCAAATTAGCTTTTTGCAAAGTGCCTATTTCATATTTCTTGGRAGTTGGAAAAGAAAGTATAAAATTTTCTCGTAGGTTTCGGTGAGTTTAGTGTTGAGGTTTCTGCACTGCCAACATGCTGCCGCGTTGCCATCTGTTTCGCACCAGTATTTAAAGAGGAGCTTATCCCCTGCTGCCAGGAGCCGCCGTGTGCGGGGAGCTGCGCCGCTTACCGCGTCCTGTGCCGGGCCTGGGGACTGGAGCGATGGCAACGCGCATCCTCTGTTTAGTAGTCTTCCATGTCACTTTATCCATCTTTCCCTCGTGGATCTGGGAGCGCTTCCTACAGTGGTTATTTGCGCCGCTGCTGGATTTGGGTCTTGGCTGTGGCCAGGGAATGTGTCTTGGCTCTGTGCGCYGCAGTGGGCGCATGGAGTGATGCGGAGGGCAGGCGCGCGGCGCGGGAGCAGCTCCCTGTCGGCCGCTTTGCCGGTGACTGGCGGCACTGCTCAGTGCAGGGAGGCGCTGGCGGGATCCGGGGCCCGAGGCTCTGCTCCTGCTTGGCTGGAAGCTGGCGCGACGTTAAAACTGCCATCCTAAAGTAGAGCTGTAGCGCTTGGTGGTTTGGAGAAAGCAGGCGGAAACCCTCAAAACCCTCCACACATTGCAGAGTTTTGGATATATGTTATTTAATGTCCTTATAAAATGAGCTTGCTGATGACTTGTTAAGGAAGAGTCAAGCGGTGCCTCTTGGACTATGTAGCCCTTGGGCTATAACTGTGTGGGAGAGGKGTAGGTAGAATAGAAGTAGTTAGGATGGAAAGATGCTCCTTGGGCCACAGAGGCTTTTCCTGCCGTGTTTTAGCAGTTCGCTCATGGATAAATAAAGTAACTCCTTGGAAGAAGTGAGGTGTTTAATTGACAAAGCAGGTGATATATTTGTATAGAGGAGGGGGAAATACAGAATTTCAATAAAGTGTGTGTGTATATATACACATATATATATATATATTTTACTCTTGATATCTTTTTATGATCTAATATTGCTGGGCCGCCTAATTTTGTCTCATACAGTCTTGCCTGTGCAAATATGTCTTTGTGTGCCTGGTAACCGAGCCTGGAAATCCTCACGTAGCCCAAATTCTTTCTTGYGACCTCTCTAATCTCAAACTGTCCAAAAGCTCCGGAAGGAGAGATTCAGAACTTCCACTGGAAATTGCCACACGTTCCCTAAAGCTGCGGCACTGCACGCAGCTTCCTGGGGTCCCGTTTGTACAGAAGCTGGATCCCGGCCTCGCGGACGCGCTCTCCCGCACTGGGGCCCGGCAGCACACCAGAGCTTTCCCGCCTTGTTTCCCAGGGCTTTTAATGTCTCTTTGCTTATGCAAATCATTCATGAGTGTTGGGTCTGCTCTCATGAGCTACTGATTCGATTTTGATAGCTGTTTTTCTTTCCAAAATATCTTTCTAAACAAAAAAGTGGCCTTCTAACTGGTGGAATGTTCCAGGAGCGGCTGTTCCAAACAGTCATTGTAAGAGCTCCGGCTTCCTCACAGAGGACTCGCTCCTTTTTCCCCCCTCCCTCTGCATCCTCATGAGAAAATATATTTCAGCCCGTCCTCTGGGAACTTTCCCACAGCAGGAGATGTCATTTTTGCGAGGCATTGTTTGGGAATTCAAAAGGAGCGCTGGCCGAAAGGGGCCCACAAAGCTGCTTTGTGCGAGGCGGCGCGGCCCGAGGACRCTGCTGTGGGTTTCCCGTGCCCGGGACGTGGGGCGCGGGAGGCGGCGCCTTCCTAAGTCTGCCCATGGAAGTGGCCGCTGGAAGCGCCGCTTCTGCCCTGCCCAAGTTGTCCTTGCGGGAAAGGGGTYGGGGCTTTTCCTTTGTGCACCTCTGTTCTTTTTCCCTGGGAAGTTATTTGATACTTTCAATTTTTCAGCAGTCCAAAAGATTCTTGCTAACAGCATAATGATGAGCAGTGTGTATGTCATTACTTGATTAAAACAGTGAAGGAATGAAAACATGCTRTTTTATGCTCGTGGAGAATAAAAGAGCATGAGTTTGCATTTCATCTCTGATAAAAGTCTGAGGAATTTGGGTGTATTAATGCTTCTCTACTTAGGAAGATTTTTCCCATTTTTTAGCCTTATTTGTAGGTACYCTGATAATCAAACGCTTCAAATAATGTGGTAGAAAGGCAACTAATACTAGTGTAAAGTATCAGGGAAAGGGTTTTGAGTTTCATGGGAGACATGCTGGCCGGGCGTGCCGGCTGGCTGTCTTTACTGGGCTATTTGTTTGTGTTTATGTCCTTTTTTTGTTTCTTAAGTAAAAAAAGAAATAAACAAACTTGGCTTAATAAGCAAAGAGAGTTTGTGAATGGGAAGATACATCCTGCTACCCCCAGGCTGGTGTGCTTACATTTTAGAGGCTTTTTCTTAGATTTCAGCTTGCATTTGCAGTTCTGCTGTGCTTTTAAGAACACTTTACCTCCCACCTTTATTTTTACTTTTTCTGCAGTGGGAAAAATCACAGTACAGTTTTCCTCGGCCAAAATTAATCATTTATTTAGTCTGGTTCTATTAACCAAAGAATAAATACAAAGATGTTATGGGGATTATATCGCAGAGAGGATGTGGTTTGTAAGCAGATGATGGAAAC